CCTCAGAGCAAAACGTGCCACTGGCCTTGCTCCAAAAACGGATGAAGGAGGTACCTGCGATATTCGCATGGGCAGTCCCCTCGTGCCGCCTGCCACAGCCTGTGTTCATGATTGTGTCAGATCTCAGGCCGCTTAGCCTCTGTTGAAAGGCCGGCTGCCCGGCCACAAGAACAGCCCTAACAGCGTGCTGAGGACCAGCTTTTCACTCTTTCTGGAAAGCCAGTGAAGCCGACACCTGCCTTAAGGGTGGGTGCTGGCCCAAAACTTACGGGCATGAATGCACAACATGGGTGCCTGTGCGCGGGAAGGCCGGAACCCACAACAGGTGGGCACGGCCCGCCCCGCGTCAAGGCCAAGAGTGTCTTGCGCACTCGCAAGCCCCCCACAGGCTTTCGGCCAAGGCTCATTTCGGATTGGCTTTGCTCCTTGTCTTGTTAGTTTGGTTGTGGTTAGTGAGTTTCTGGGTGCTTACCAAAGCTGTAATCGCCGGCCAAGCGCAAAGCACCCTCGCGCAGCGTTCAATTGCAAAAATTGTTGTTGTTGTTGTTGTTGCTGCTGCTGCCGCTGCTGTTGTTGTTGTTGTTGTGAAAAACTTTTCGCGCCAAAACCCGCAAACACAGTTTCGGGAAATAGGAACACATGTCCAGAAATAAGGCCCGTCCATCGCGATGGAAGGTTGCCGTAATCGCCGAGTTCATCTCCCTCTCCGGGTTCTGGCGCTGTCATCGTCATCATCTCCGTCATCATTCCAGCGAAGGACCGCAGTTGACAAGCGCAAGCTCGCGCCGCGACCGGCCGTGTAGGGCAACGTTTCCCGGAACTGCCCCCAGTTGTGAAGCCGGCTAATCCGGTCTTGCAACAAAGCAAACACGGACAGCCCACTGTTTTCGGCTTCGCGAGTTCACGCTCCGTCCAGTTCCCGAGGTACGGCCGCGTCGTACGGTCCGACCGTTGGCCAGCAACTCTACGAGCTACAGTAGCCAACGATTCCACCGTGCACACTTGGCACATCTAGTTGCACAAGGCACTTGAGCCAAAACATTGTTTGGCAAAACTTGGTTGATTAAACAACATGCAACTGAAAGCTACTCCTGCAGCTCTAGCAGACAGTGCATATACCCTCATGACATGCATGACAGCTCACATATAGATGATATTCATATCTTGTTCAAATGACTCATATGATTATCATTATTAAATGACTAATAGAGTTAATATTTTTCACAGTGCTACTCATATTGATGAATATTCATCATATTACTACTACAAACGATAGCAGCAATAATGATAATAATAATAATAACACCAATAATCATCACAGTACGATTAATATGGTTCATATGATCCGTGTGAGTAATATGACAAATACTATGAATATGATTCAGACTACCAAATTTCTCATAACCTGAATATTATATTAATACTGATAACATTAGCAGTACAAGTATCATTAAGACATATCGTTAATATGTTTAATCTTCATATTCCACATGAGCTTTCACGGTGATGCCGGGCACCAAGAAAGTGAACAACATGCCATCTGAACATCTCTGGAAAGGATTCCGATTACCATACAAACCCCTTCAAAGAAGCCGAGCCAATGTTACTGAATGCCAAAGCGAGCCTGCAGTCTTTGTGCATCACACTCTGCCAGTTTGCGGAGCTTGAGGGCAATTTCGCTAGATGGCGCCTGACAACGAGTTGTCGCGGAGCTGTCAGCGATGTAAACATGGGAACCAGAACAGGTCTTCAAGAGGACGGCACTTCGCACATGCTCTTCAGTATTCCATCAACCCGAGCAAACCGCTAGTGCTAGCACACCTTCTTAGGAATGGAGCCAAACCAAGACCCCCAGGAAAAGTGCTGTTGAAACCGAAAAGTGCGGGCCATACATCGCCACACTCGATTGGCCTTCACAAGAGCCTGTGCCCATCTCATTGAATAAACCATCATGAACCTGTCACAACAGCTTCCTGGGAATACAGCTAAGAAGCTTCTCGGCATCTTTGCAACTAGTTGCGGAGGCTGTTGCTTGCCATTTCAATAATAAAAACTGCATACGCGCCCGAACAGAGCGACCATGAGAAACACGCCCCAGAGATGTGCAGCCAACTGGTCCATGCCCCTTCTGCTGAACTTGAAGGACAATCTGGGAGTCAATCTGTGCATTTTCTTTGGATCTACAGGCACCTTGGACTGGACAAGGGCTTCCAGCTCCCGCGATGATGATATGCAGAAGCCAATCGAAGCGGCCAGCATGCTGGCCTGAGATTTCGCGCTTAAAGCTCTGTGGAGCCAAGCTGCCCGAGTCCTGCAGAAGTCGGCCACAGAAACCATGGGTCGACATCCAAAACCGTGGACATGCTATGGAAACGGTAGGAGTCCAAGCTGCCACGTCTAGCAGCATTCTGGAACCATGGGGCGGGGAACCTCATAATGCTGGGCTCGAGCCAACTCGGCTGTGGGGACTCCGTTCTCTACCAACTCATGACTGCGTGTGTCTTAGTCTTGGTCCAGAGTCAACCTTTTGGGTATTCATGTGAGCGCGCACTCACATCCATTTCGGGGGGGGACCTCGACGCTTCGAAAAACCTTCTCATCGCTGCATAGATCTGTTGAAACAAGGCAACTCATATAAGTTGTAAGGCGTTTTGACACAGACCGTCACTCTTGGCGGCCACGTTTGTCAAGCCAGGGTGGTGCCAGCCCGCGCCAGCTCTGCAAAGAGCAAACCAAACAGTTTTATGTGCTTCTATGTACTCCGCCTGACTTAAACTGTTGCTGATCCACAAAGCTTCCACATTTCCAGGAAGATGCCGCCTAATACCACAGGTGGGAGAGGTGCTGCTGTGCCTTGCAGGGAATGCCATACGAGCTCATGTACATTCTTCGTCTACCCGAAATATCCTGAACATTCACCATGCTATGCGGCAGCTATGCGATGAACGAAGTTAAGCACAGAAGCCTTGGGAACAGGGATTTTTCTCAAAGACTCATAAAAATACCCCAGGCGCTGCCGCAGTATAGGGTTACGGAATAGTTGTCCTTGAAGAGCTCGAGCTTTAAAAACCATGATGCACCCAAACATTCTGCCTTCTTGAGAAGGTCGTGGTTCTTTGCAGCAGCAGGAAGGGAAGCACACGTGGAAACGACACTGTTCACATTCTTTCAGATGAGCTCGATATACAGACGGTGCCTGTTGTTTGTTTCTGCTTCGGCTGCCTGCGCTACCAAGGCTACATAAGTGCCAGAGGAAGTTTGGCACAAAAACAGCTCCTTCTCCTCATATGCTGCTGCTGCTGCTGCTGCTGCTGCTGCTGCTGCTGCTGCTGCTGCTGCTGCTGCTGCTGCCACTACTTCTACTGCCACCACCACACCCCAACTCATACTCCTGCCACCGTTTCCCTACTAACCACAGCGGACACAACAAGAACGCGACAGATAGAACAGAAATAGGACTTTTCCCGGGGCCAACAACGAGCGGCGCCAAGTGGAGCCAGTAAATCGGCTCGGCCGCTTCGAGGAGCGGCTGAGGCTCGCCGAAGGCCAACTTCTGCTACAGCAGCTGCAGGGCGCCGCTCTCCTCGAGAGGAAGGCTCTTGCTTGTGAAGTTTCTTTCAAGGTAACTAAACTTTAAGGACCCTACACTTAGACTTGGGGGTTCGGATGCTTCTACTAGGTTCTTCTAGAACAAACTTAGACTTGGGGTTCGGATGGCGTCTTGGGTTTTGGGGTTTGAAGGCGGGTAGATTCGGGTGTGGGGTCAAGGGAGCTGGGTAGAGGTTTGGCAGGCATTTGCAGACCGTTCATTGGGGGGGGGTTCCGAGGACTGTGATGCAGGCGTTTGGGGGTTTAGGTGTTTGTTTCTGATAGTTGGACTTCTTAAGGCTTAAATGCTTCGTTGTGTTGAGGGCTTAGGGGTTATCAGGGTTTGGTTCGGGGTTCATAGGCTTCCTATGGGCGGGCAATGGGAAACCCGTGGGGCATCCACTGCAAGTCTGCAAGTAACAAGTTCACCAGCTCAGCTCATAGAACAATACAATACCGGTGCACATGATGCCTACATCAGCCCTCAATCTACACCCTAGGACGCACATTCCGTACGGATGCATGAAGCTAGAAAGCACAACCATCATTTCTTAGTGCCATAGCTCGTGAGGCAACAGGGCCCCCATGTCATGAAAACTCTTCGGCTGCGACCGCCACCCAAAAGATGCCAGTCACCTAGACCCTAAACCCTCAGCCTGTTCAAGAACTTGATTCAACGGCTGCTCCTTGAACCTGTCAGGCAGCGCTGCGCGCTGGGTGTACCAAGCTTCCGTGCACTGAGGCCCTCTTTCACTGCAATGGCGAAGGCTCCAAGAGCGGAGGAGAGAGGTGTGCGAAGAGGGGCCAGCAGCATGTCGCCCGAGTTCGCTGTGCCTCAGCTGCATCTGCTCTGCCATGCGAGGCTATGAGACTCTATCAAGCTTTTAGGAGCTTCCAGCTCCGCTGGGCCTGGAGGGCCGTTGCCCACTGATAGGCCGCGATGGAGGGCAGCAGGATGAGGATGGAGAGCCACACCAGCCAAGAGAGGCCTCGGCGTGCCGAAGCTCAAGCCGCTCACGCACTGAAACACGACAGCTTAGAAGGGCGCTCGTTTGCCCGAGCAAGGGCCAGTCCACATAGGCAAAGAGGACAGTAGACACCTGTCTTAATTTGCCAGTCATTAAAGCTTTCTCTTCCCTGCCATCCAGTCCTTGAGCCCTGTCATGACCGAGCTGCAGGGAACACCGCCTTCAGGGCGACGTTGGTGGCGAGCGAGCCCGAATGCTTCACGGCCAGAAGTATGCTCAAGTTCCAGAGAACGTTGAGCAGCACGTAAATGGCCACACCTCAAGTCAAGGGTTGCGAAGACGGCAAGCCGTCTTGAGAGCGCCTAAAAGTGCAAAGTGCAATGCAGCGATGGCACAACGTCCTGCCAGCTCTCCGTGGTTGGAGTCGGGCCCGCAGCTGCCACCAAAGACACAGGCAAAGGCTTCCCTCGCGAAGGCCAAGATGCCTCGCAAAATGCCAAAGCAAGAGCAAACGCGTCTGACACATTCCTGACAAGGCAAAGCGCACAAAGGGCGGCTTTGGGTATCGGGAGCGGTCCTTCGCCATGAGTCTGCTTCAGAAGCTCGTTCAGAGGTAGCAGCAGGACGGTCAACGGAAGCCTTTGCACATGTCTGAAAAATTCGCCGAGTAGTGAGACTTCTTAAGTTACTAAAAGCCTTCAATAAGCTCGCCATCAATGAATTAGCCATTCGATCTTCGGCTTCTACAAGCAACCAGGTTGGACTTGTGGAAGCGAGGAGCTGGAAGACTGCTATGTGAGCGTTCATGACGAAGATGTTCAAGCCGCTTCGGCCGGTTCCAGTTTCACCGCCTCCAGATTCGCCGCCAGGATGAAGAGCTTCCTGCCAAGCCTGGCACTGACTTTCCACATCCCACTCTCTCAATAAATCACACAAGACTTCAATGTTTGCTGTTTCACCGCCATCGCTTCGAACTGTCTTAGAAACTACTTTGTGCATACTTTGGCCCATAATTTGCTCAGCATTGTAGGAGTGTCTCCAGACCACACATAAATCTGCCAAGACCGCTAGGCCCGGGGTGATTAGATATGCAAAGCGCTGGCCGGTGGCCGGTGGTCGGTGTGGCTGGTGACTGGTGGTCTGGTGTTGGCGGCTGGCGTTTGGTGGCTGGTGGCTGATGGTGGGTGGGGGCGGGTGGTTGTGGGTGGTGGTGGGTGGGTGTGGGAGGGCGGCTGGTAAGCAGCTCAAACACTTCCCTGGAAGACTTTCGGGCCCAATGCCAGAGCTGGGGGATACTCGAAAGATGCCAAGGCAACATACCAAATAGGACACCGTAACATGGGGTACGTTTACAACTTACTCCGATGTGGTGTTAAGGGATGTACAAAGAGCTTGAATTGGACAAGACGTTTGAATAAGTCCTGCCCTAGAGAACATATGATAAGGTTGTATGATGTTGTATGTCAAATCATGAGATGTCTGCAGGGTTCCGGGCGTTGGACGTTCGTTCATGGAGTGCTCCTGTTGGTTTATGTCTATCTGCAGGGATTTCGATCTTGACACCTGATTCGACCATGCCATACGCGAAGTACTCCTACGCGCATAAGTCCTTGCATGTCGCGCTTGTTGATGCTTCCCCCATCTGCACACACACGCAACGCGTGGGGTCGCTGCAAAGTCGTTGCATCTGCCGTTCCCGCAAGGGCACACGTCCCGCACACCATCCCCCAGGAGTGAACAACTCATCTGAAAACCTGCGTGCTGCTGTTCGTTTTGCAACATTCTGCAAGTGCACACCTCCGGGGACAAGTGAAGAACGGCCCCCGAGATGCACGTACTTTGTCTTGATCTTGATATATGTCTTGAAGGTCCCAGGGCCTCCCATGCAGCGCCAAACCCGCGTACCGAGCGTAGATCTTCAAGCGGCTCCCGTGAGGACCCCAAACCCGCATGCAGTCCTTGCATTTGCCGTTCCCGCAAGGGCACACCTCCCGCACACATTCCCCCAGAAGTGAACAACTCATCTGAAAACCTGCGTGCGGCTGTTCGTTTTTGCAACATTCTGCAAGTGCACACCTCCGGGGACAGGTGAAGAACGGCCCCCGAGATGCACGTACTTTGTCTTGATCTTGATATATGTCTTGAAGGTCCCAGGGCCTCCCATGCAGCGCCAAACCCGCGTACCGAGCGTAGATCTTCAAGCGGTTCCCGTGAGGACCCCAAACCCGCAACGACTTACGCAACTGGGAGTAGTAAGGTGAGCGATTGAAGTTGAACAACTCAATGAGCATAGCCTTTACGACTGCATCGTGGCGGAAAGCCCCAGCATCACGGACAAGCTGTCACTCGTGAACATCAGCTCGTTCCAGCAGACTGTGAGTCCGAAGGAGATTCATTGGGCGCCCAGGCGCTTGATGCTCGCGGATGGGCTTACCAAACTGGACAGCTACCTTGTGTTGCAGTTGTCAGCCTGGCTCCGGGATCCCTTTGTGCTCTTACGGGACCTTGGTGAGCCAAAGTAAAAGATTACGAAGTGAACCTTTCTGCGCAGGCCTCGTGATCCTGTCCCCTTGTGCGGCCATTGGCTCACCAACAAACGACCGTTGAGCCAGACTCTAGTTTGTGCGCGAAACATGGGCCGAAAATGTGCGCTTTGATTGCCTGCTTTGAACTTCGAGCAAATAGCAGTGTAAAACTTACATGGTGTTCGATGCCTCCGGCTTGTAGATTTTGTAGACGCCTTTCCAATGCCAACCTTTTCAAGCTTTTGCGCATCGATCTTTCAGAACATCACCAGCCCATCATTCTGCTCGCTCTCGCTCATTCCATGAACTTCTCTTGGTGCATTGGT